AATCTGAAACTAGACACATGGGGCTTCACGTGCATATAAATTATAAGAGAATCGGAGGTCTGTAGCCCCACGAAACATAACTTGCAAAGTGCTCGTTAAACCAGCTTATAAAACTATTTAAAACGTTCAGAAATTGTTTTTCGCAAAACAAAAACCGATTCTTTCAAAATACCAGCTGACCATAAAATCTAAAAAAATAGTAATTTAAAACATGTTCCAACAGTAGCCCATCCTTCCAAAATATTACATCATTAGAATATAATCAGCCAACATCAAATAGACAAAGCAGCCAACAACAGAAAGTCCAAACAGCAGCAGTCAACAGCAAATACCCAAAATAACAACGTCATCATATGCTTTTTCGTCCTCCTGCAATTTTATAAAAATTGAGCCCCAAAAAGGGTGAGAAAAATCCCAGTAGTGTGATAGAAAAACCAGTAAAGCAACACTATTAGACTAGGTATAAAATTCCAAACAGTCGCATCAACATATAATTTTCCGAACGAATGCTAACATATCATCATAGTGCGTAGATAACGCCAAAGTACTAGTCATGATGCGTATATAACGCCATAATACTAATCAGAGTGCGTATATAACGCCACGGTAATGTACGTTCATAGCACTGCATTCCACATACTAACATACACAGTGGAGATTCCATATTGGCTCCATCAAAGATGAATTCCAACTGTGGCCTATGCGGACTGAAGCCAAGTGTCTCATACCCTGGTACCGGAGGGATGCTTATATGATGCGTGCTCAATCATATGCTTACTTATATTATATACTTCGGTTTCCAAACTGGATGCATAATGTTGTATGCCACGATATGCTTCGCATACACAAAAAGAAGCAGATGAATTATGATGTACATATGCATGACTAGATCATCATCACAATAGCATATATTGCATGTATTTTTAATACCAAGCTGCCGAATAACAACTGCTTCCCAAAGCAGAATTTTCCATCATGTCAAGTTCAAGGCAGAATACATATAACATATAACAGAATACGAATCCAAGGCACATGTGAGCAACAATTCACAATTTCATACACTAGCTAATAGTCACAATAGGTCTTACCACCAAACACTTACCTCGGTGCTTACAACTTTTTAATCAAATCTCACCAAACAGTCCATCTTTTAGGATCTTGCGCACCTAACGAATATATGTATCAAGTCAAAATTTATTACATATATTTCCTATACATTACATAGTTTTTCCATTCTCCTAAATCCTTGATTTGTGATCGGGTTCTATGTTCACATACTAAACAATTTCCTGCCATAAGATTGGTTTACCAATTGTCCCCAATTGACAAGATCCAAAGTAATTCACACATGTATGTTCGGTTTTCAATCATCACTAAGTGCTTAAGATTTTCATTTAACAAAACACTATCTTCATCACTTATACATGAGTTGATTAAATCATTTAATATGCTGTCTTCATGGGTTACAACACTTGTAAAGCTTGAATCAAATCGGATTTCATGGTTCTTGTACTAATTTAATTATTTTGACTTAGAGCTTATTTTCCCAATAGATAATACGTGACATAATCATGATCTTCCATGCATTTAGGTTCAGTTTCTTGTCGATTACTTAGATGTCACACATTAATCAGTTAAATAACCATGTTTACAAGATTCAGTGTGTGCTAATGAGACATACAGCATGTTGTCTCATTGAATTTACTACATGCAAAGCTAGATAAAAATGACTTAGTTTAACAAAATAGTCTACAATTTACAAGAGTTATTTTTTTTTTCATCCCTACAACTTATGATGCGCTAAAAAGGGTCCTAAGACAAGCTGTCCAATTAATTTACTTCAAGTAAAGCCAGATACAACAACATATGTGCGTTATTTTCCAAGTTCCCCAAAATTAGTTAACACCGCTTGCATATACTAAACTACCAACAGTAGTACGGCTGAGCAACAAGGAAATTAGATGGAAAAACTAGCTTCCTAAAACAGTTATGCAGGCCGAATAAGATGGAAAGAATGACAGCACAAAACCAAAACTACAGCAGTATGCATACAGCAATCGCACAATTCAGGGAATAGAGAGGAAGACTAGAACTTGAATTTACCTTCTTAACTACACACTAAGGATTCCAATCGCACAAATGGGCAGCCCTCTACATTCTCCTAAATTCCAATAGTCTGAATCCATTTGCATGCAAGGAGAAATATGAACTCAATCACGGCTGGTTGAGGAGCATACAATGGAAGCAACAAAAACACACTCAATCAGGGTCAATCATGTAGAAGAAAACAAGAAAGGAGATAAACATCTTACCTTCTTACTTGTGATGTTCAGCCGAATAGGAAGGAGGAACAATAGAGCAGTGAAGATGCTTCCTCCTTGATCTTAAGCGCACGGTCCAGCTAAGAGAAGAGAAAATGGAAGTTGATGCTGAGTCTTTCTCTTGAGAAACCCACGGTTTAGGGGAAGGTTGGGATAACTGTGTTTTCTGACTTTTGTTTAAAGGATTGCAAGCTCAGTTTTTTGGTTGGTTCCTTGTCATGCGAATATGGAGGATGATAATCAAGCTTTCTTTTTCGTTGGTGATTCACGAGCATGAGGAGGGATCAATTTCTAGATAATGTAAGGTGAGATTCTTGGTAGAGAACTGGACTTGGTCGAATATCAAAGGAGAGATCAATGTGTCCTCAAGGCTTAAGTGTCGTGCATGCAAGAGGATATAAGAGATTTTGTTTGACACATAATAGACATGCATTGGCTGGTTTGGTTTGGATGATAAAACATGAAATCATAATTATTCCTCTATACTATGCGCATGAAGGGAAATGTAAGGGTAAAATGAGATTTGGGCTACTTGATTTCCATTATGGCCCTTGGGCCGAGCCCATTAAGACCCATTGGTTCCCAACAAATTATTTCCTAAGAGCTCATTTATCTCACTTCATATAGTAATAGCTATTATATATTTTATATCCACTAGGTATCAACTAGGATTTTTACATATTTTGTACCTAAAATTAATCCCCTCCTCTTAACTAGAATTTTAATTTCTTAAAACACATACTCACACATAGTTATAGTTAACATAATTTTTATGGCTTGAATTAAGTCCACCCTATATATATATATATATATATATATATATATATATATATATATATATATATATATATATATATATTTCGAGTTCAAGGCAAGCTTCCATGTTCCTAACTAATTTATAGAACTTCCTAAATTCACGGGATGTTACAGTAAGGTTGATTAACATTTTCAATGTCATTAATGTTTAGTGGGCTGATTAGAGTCTTTTTCTTTTTCCAAGTTATCAACTTTAAATTAGTGTCTTTTCATTTGCTAGTCTTTTCCTATTCTTGGAGGGATGTTCCAAGTATAAATAAGGGAGGATATAACTCTTGTAATTAGATTTGAACTTATATTATAATAGAGAGGTTCATTCTCTTTGGTTCTTATCTAGAACTCTGAACTTATCAAGAAGCTTATTCGTGTGGCGTTCAACCCAGACTTATCACTCACCTTCTTCTTTCTTGAGTGTGACGTCTTTATCCTTCTTATACATTTGGTTCTTATCTTCCATAGATAACCGGACAAGGTTCTTTATTTCTTGTTTTAAATTCCTAATTGTAGAAACGATCCTAACTAAATTGGTCTTGGATCTCACTATTCTTGGTGAGGTTCATATTAGATAAGGGTGAGCTCGAAATAAAGCATCCCAATACTTTCAATACTCAAGCTGCTCGGCTGGGGGAGGAGAAGGAAGTAACTACAGTTGTATAAGAATACGATTGTGGTTACAAAGTAGGGATGTGCATGGGTCGAACCGAATCGTTTTTTTTGAAAAACCGAACCAAATTGGTTTAAATGGTTCAGTTCATAAGTGTTTCAGTTTGGTTCAGAAGTGATTCAGTTCGGTTCAAAACTGGTTCGGTTCGGAAGTGGTTCGGTTCGGTTCGGTTGGAAACGGTTTGGTTCAGAAATGGTTCGGGTCGACTCTCTTTTGAAAAGAAAAAAAATAAAAATTTAAAAAATAAAGTTATAAAAATCAATTTGAAAACGGTTCGGTTCGGTTCGGAAATGGTTCGGTTCGGTTCAAAATGGTTCGGTTCTTAAACTAGTTCTAAAAACCGGTTCGGTTCATGAACTGGTTCTTTAAAAACCGGTTCGGTTCATGAACTGGTTTTTAAAAACCAGTTATTTTAAGGGGCGGTTCAGTTCAGTTCATGGTTCAGTTCAGTTTTTTAGTTATTTTGCACATCCCTACTACAAAGTGAAGGTAAAGCAAGCTTGGAGCAAGGCTTCAAAATAACTTTGCTAAAGATTAAAAATAGGAATATGATATTCCGGAATTTAACCTAAGTTACGCAAGCAAGACATCTCGGTTACTACAAGCTGAATAAAAATGTGGTCTCAAAGACATTGTGCTCCCCAATAGCTCGGACAACCAAGCTATTATGCTGAGGGACAATTGTTATGGACCTACATAAGATCCATATATCTAAAGGCCCAACAAAAAGTAATTACACGACAACTGTGCAGGAAAATTTGGCGTATGAATAGAAGGAACAAAACTCATATACTCACAAATAAAATTCTATAAATAGGAGATAAAGTCTACAGGTATGACATAATCTCTCTTTTACTATTATGCTGTCACTGTGTAAAACCTCATTGGCTCACGCCGTTATTAGTTGTGTACAATGATCTTTCTTTTCTAGAGATCTACTCAATAGATACCTTAAAGAGAGTCTGATCATATATTAATTTAGTAGCCTTGAGCTAAATATCTCTGTGGTACAAACAATATGATTATATTTTTTTCCATTTTAGCAAACAAATATACAATGTGATTATCCATGGATCATACGAAACTTTACTAACACACTTAACGATGTAGTGGTCAAAATAAGTCGCAAACTTCAAAATCTAGAAACAAAATTAAGATTGGATTTCTGAATATCAAATCAATGAACATGATGATGTAGATTCGTCAATAATAAATGTTAATCATTCTTTAATTTAAAAGAATTAAATCTGACTACATTACAGTGAACGAGCCAAAATAGGCCAATCACAAGCAGTTGCACATTGGTCATTACCAAAATATTAAACAAAACTCTTGCATGGGACCACAATCATGAACTCTCACGCAACTTTGTCTGCTGGTCTGCTGCTACCCCACATTAGTCCAGACAATGATACCACTTTGGCCGGCGCAACTTAGCATTCCACACCCACATAGGCGGCGCGTCGAAAAACCTCCGGCAAATCGGCCCCTTTGCCCCACTCTCCGGCGATGCAATCGTACACCAAAACACACCCTTCTCTCGAGCCCCTCACTTCATTCACACACCCCGCAACTTGGATCAGCGCCACCTTGTCTCCCATTCCAACGCAGCTGAATCTCATTCTCGTGTCCACTCTAACCTGCGCAGGCAACGGTGGGCTCTTTATCCTGCACCACTCCCCAAATGCTCCTCCGCCACGGCCACCACATTTCTTATGTGCATCAAAACTCCAAAAGCTGAGTTCCACCGCGTGGCTGGTCAGCGCGTAGACGCGCCCGGCAGCTGCACAAGCCGCCACCACACAGCCTCCCCCAGGTACGGCCCGGCTCCTGAGCCACACGCGCGCCTCCACGTCAAACAAATCCATTGAACTTGCATAAGCTGCATGAGCCTCTGCTCCTCCCGCGGCGCGTGAGAAATCGTTCTCTCCAGACGCGCCTATTCTCAACCCGCCAATTACATAAAACACGCCATCCACGGATGCCCCAACACAGCCATACCTTCTCCTTGGCGCGTGAGCCACCACGCACCAAGTGTCCGTCATAGGGTCGTACTCCTCAACCGTGGCTGTTCTCGAACTACCGCCGGCGACGTAGAGTTTTCCGGCGACGGCTGCCAAAGCGAATTTTTTGCGCTGGAAAATCATGGCGGAGCGCGGGGTCACGGTGGCAGTCCATGTGTCGTACCGCAATGTAGCGTTTCTTCCTACGACGTAAATCCTTGGACCAATCGAAGCCACTCGCGCTTGGGTCAAGAGGGAATGGAAGTTGTCGAGGGAAACCGCGTCGTAGCAAGGGAGGAAGAGGGAGTTGTTCCAGGCTCCGTCGAGGAGGGTGGCGGCCGAAAGGCCGAAATCGGTGGCGGCGATGGAGACGGCGGTGTGGCGGAGGAGGTGGAGGCGACGGCGGAGGTGGGAGAAGTCCGGGGAGAGGAGGAGGCGGGACCAGCGGCGACAGACGAGGGAGAGAGATGGGAGGGAAGAGGACGGGACGCGGGAGAGGCAGTCCAAAACGATGTCGTCGGGGAGGGAGGATATGGTGTTTGCGAGCGTAGGGTAAGTAGGGTGGTGATGCGGTTTTGTGATGGAAAAGTCAGTGTCATGTGGATTGGGGAAGCAAGACTTCATGAGCCATGTGAAGTGGCGAGAGTTGCAGCTTTCTCTCTCTGAACTCATGAGTTAGTGTTTCAAAGTGGCGAACGAACAGAGAGAGAGAGAACTAATAACGAATCAGCTCATACTAAAACTGGTGGCACAGTGGCACCTCACCGTGGATTTGATTTGTACAACCGTTGATTTCCGTATTTTTTTATTATTATTATTATTTTATTTTGGTAAACTGATTTCTGTGATTTATTATTATTATTATTATTATTATTATTATACTTTTTGGTGGTGAAGATGTTGAACTTCCTCCTTCAATGCTAAGTCCAAGCCCATTGAGAAATTTTCTAAAAATCCTAACCTTAAATTCCACCTTCTCTATATATTCACTAGTTGAGGGTGGATGCTAGGTCAAAGAAGAGAGAACAGATTTGAGAGAAAAATTGTTTGAGTGATTTGAGCAAAACTTTATGCTTTGTATTTGAGAGATCTCTAGAGAGAGTTTGAGTGAAACATCTCTAGGGACATTTGATTATCACCATTGTTTGAGAGGTTGAGTTAACCACCACATTGGTGAATCTTAATTATTTGTAACCATTATTTTCATAGTGGATTTTTTGATCTGGACTAAGTCTCGTGGGTTTTTTATTTCTTCATTGAAGAAGGTTTTCCCACATTAAAATTGCATGTGTTCTCTCTCTCTCTTTCTCTCTCTCCCGTTTTCGTTTTTGATTTTTTCGCTGCGCTGGCCGACCTAGTGAAGTTCAGGCCGAGGTATTGCCGAGATCCGAGATAAGGATCTTGTTGATTGACTTCCGCAAAAGGCTGTAGAAGCCGAGCTTGAGGGAACCGATTTTTTCTCAAAAGTGGTATCATAGCCCGAGTTCGACGGGTTCTTAGGGAGACGGATGGAGACCAGTGGCATAACCAATGATGGAGACATGTTCAAGTTGACCGCAGACAATTTCACCTATTGGAGACCGATGATGGAAGATCATCTCTACTGCAAAGATTTATATGAGCCCATTACCCTTGAAAAGAGACCGGAGGGCAAAACTGATAAGGAGTGGGAGATTCAGAGTCGTAAGGCGGTAGCTACGATCAGAAAATATATTGACAAAAGCCTCCTTGAGCACGTGTCCGAGTTCACGAACGCGTATGAGTTGTGGACGAAGCTAGAGTCCATGATTCAGAAGAAGACTCTCAGGAATAAAGCATACCTGGTTCGCCGACTTGTGAAGCTTGAATACAAGGACGACATGAGCATGATTGAACACCTCAACACCTATAAAGGTATTGTGAATCAGCTGTCAAAAGCTGAGATGAAAATTTATGATGAGATGCAGGCTTTGCTGCTGTTGAGCTCGCTGCCATAAAGCTGGGATACTCTGGTGGTGACTTTGAGTAATTCAGCTCCAGAAGAAAAGTTGAAGATGGATGTCGTGACAAACAGTCTTTTGAGCGAAGAAGTCGGGAGAAGAGAACGAGGTGTTTCAAGCACGTTTGAGGCCAACATTGCTGAAAAGAAAGGGAAATCTGAATCCCGGGGTAGAAGCAAAAGCTGAGGTCGAGATCGTGACAGAAGAGGAAAGTCCAGAGGTCGGTCAAAGCCGAAATATGAGTTGAAGTGCTTTTATTGTGGAAAGACAGGTCATAAGAAGCCAGACTGCTGAACCCTGCAGAATGACGAGAAGAACGGCTCTGTGAAGCCGGATCAGATTATTCCCAAGAAGAGGGAAGACAAGAGCACCACTGCGGTGGCTGCCAACTCGAATGCCGAGATATTCCTCCTTGGTGAGGATAATTATTTGAATGTTGCATATGATGACTGCACCTGGATTGTTGACTCCGGTGCCTCCTTCCACGTTACTCCACACAAAGGTTTTTTCTCCTCTTACCGAGGTGGTGATTTTGGAGTCGTGAAGATGGGAAATCAAGTGACCAACAAGATTGTTGGTGTCAGTGATGTAACTCTGATCACGGATGTCGGATTCCGACTTGTGTTGAAAGATGTAAGGCATGTTCCTGACATGCGTTTGAACTTAATCTCGGTAGGCAAACTTGATGATGCCGGGTTAGTGAACTACTTCGGTAGTGTTAGATGGAAGCTGGTCAAGGGAAACTTGGTCGTGGCCTGAGGTAAGAAGGAAGGCTCCTTGTACGTGATGCAAGGAAAGATCAATGGCGAAGAAGCCAATTCTGTTCGAGATGAACCTAGCTTGGAGCTATGGCACAAGCGCCTCGGCCACATGAGCGCGAAAGGGCTCCAGATCCTGAACAAGAAAGGATTATTGACCGGGTTGAAAGGTCAAGCGTTGGAGAGTTGCACGCATTGCCTAGCTGGAAAGCAGCATCGGGTTTATTTTGTAAGATCGGATCAACCTAGACGACACATGTATATTCTTGACCTCGTCCATACTGATGTTTGCTCCATGTCGGAAAGATCCCTTGGAGGAGCTCAGTACTTTGTTTCATTTATTGATGACCATTCCCGCAAAGTGTGGGTATATTTATTGAAGTCTAAAGACCAAGTACTCTAATCCTTTAAAGAATTCCATGCTATAGTTGAAAGGGAGACTGGCAAGAAATTGAAGGTGGTCCGATCTGATAATGGTGGTGAGTATTGCGGCCCATTTGATGCATACTGTAGAGCGACCGGGATTTGACTTAAGAAAACGCCCCCTAAGACACCTCAGCTGAATGGACTGGCTGAGCGGATGAACAGAACTATTAAAGAGAAGGTCCGAAACATGTTATCCAATGCCGGATTGCCGAAATCATTATGGGGAGAAGCCGTCAAAACTGTTGTTGACTTGATCAACCTCTCACCATCACGGCCACTTGAAGGAGAAATTCCAGAAGAAGTCTGGACAAGTTGGAATTCGGCCTATAATCAATTGAAAGTGTTTGGATGCCGAGCTTTCATGCATATCCCTAAAGATGAAAGGGCAAAACTTGATGCGAAGACAAAAGAATGCATCTATCTTGGTTCGCCGAGATGTGAGTTCGGGTTCCGACTTATGGATCCAATCAATAAGAAGATAGTGAGAAGCCGAGATGTGATCTTTCATGAAGATGAGAACATTCATGACATCTCGAAGCCCAAAGTCCGAGTTACTGTCAGACGCGAAGAACCCAATCCTCCTGTCCGAGCTGAAGCTGGGGGAGAAAATCAAGAGAATGAAGAAATTGATGACCAACAACAAGCTGAAGATGACCAAGACATTGAGGTCCGAGTTGATGATGAGATGCGGGATGAGAATGATGAACCGGGTTCTCAAGCTGAAGAACAACCGAGATATCCAACTCGAGAAAGAAGACCCTCTACAAGATACCCATCTGATGAATACACCGTTGTTGCTGAAGACAGTGAGCCTCAGAGTTATGATGAGGCTGTGACGAGCTCAGAGAAAGAAGAATGGAAAAAGCAATGCAAGACGAGATGAAGTCTCTGCACGAGAATCAGACTTATGAGTTGACCGAGTTGCCTAAAGGAAGACGAGCTTTGAAAAATAAATGGGTCTACAAGATTAAGAATGAAGAGAACGGGCAAAAGCCGAGATACAAAGCTCGGATTGTAGTGAAAGGCTGCAATCAGAAGAAATGAGTAGACTTTGAGGAGATTTTTTCTCCTGTGGTGAAAATGACCTCGGTCCGAACCGTGTTAGCCATGGCGGCTTCGATGGACCTCGAGGTAGAACAAATGAACGTGAAGACGGCATTTCTTCACGGTGATTTAGAAGAAGAAATATATATGGAGCAACCTGAAGGATTCCAAGCTCCAGACCAAGAAGACTTGGTATGTCGGTTGAAGAAGAGTCTCTATGGCTTGAAGCAAGCACCTCGGTAGTGGTACAAGAAGTTTGAATCATTCATGACTGATCATAAGTTTGAAAAGACAGAAGCTAACCACTGCGTATTTGTGAAGAGGTATGAGGCCGGAGATTTTTTGGTTTTGTTGTTATATGTTGACGACATGCTTATTCTATGGAAAGACAAATCGAGGATAGCCGCCCTGAAAAAGGCGTTGAGCTCGTCCTTCGCAATGAAGGACCTCGGCCCTGCAAAGCAGATTTTCGGAATCAAGATCATCCGAGATCGACAGAAGAAGCTACTGTGGCTAAGTCAAGAGAAATATATTGAGAAGATTCTGAAGAGATTCAGCATGGACAAAGCCAAAACAGTTAGCACCCCCCTTGCCGGACACATAAAGCTGAACCAGAAGCAATGTCTGAGATCTGATGAAGACAAAGATGAGATGATGAAGGTCCCTTACCAATCCGTTGTCGGAAGCTTGATGTATGCAATGGTTTACATTAGACCCGACTTGGCGTATGCTGTTGGAATGGTAAGCCGGTATTTGTCAAACCCTGGCAAAGAGCACTGGGAAGCAGTGAAGTGGATCTTCAAGTACCTCCGAGGAAGTCGACTACAGGATATTTGATGAGATTTGCCGGAGGAGCTGTCTCTTGGCAATCAAGACTTCAGAAACGTGTTGCACTATTGACAACTGAGGCTGAGTACATTGCCGCTACTAAGGCAAGCAAAGAGATGCTGTGGATGAAGAAGTTCCTCATGGAACTCGGCCATGATCAAGACAAGTACGAGCTGGGTTGTGACAATCAAAGCGCAATCCATCTTGCAAAAAATTCGACCTATCACTCCCGCACTAAGCACATTGATGTGAGGTATCACTGGATCCGGAATGTGGTGGAAGGTGGAGAGCTCGAACTCGTCAAGGTGCACACTGACCAAAATTGGTCCGACATGATGACAAAGTCGGTTTCAGCAAGGAAATTTAAAGACTGCTGTGAAGGAGCCGGGTTGATGCTGAAGCTGACGCATTGAAGTCGGAGGGGGAGATTTGTTGGGCTTCCTCCTTCAATGCTAAGCCCAAGCCCATTGAGGAGTTTTCTAAAAACCTTAACCCTAAATTCCACCTTCTCTATATATTCATTAGTTGAGGGTGGATGCTAGGTCAGCGAAGAGAGAAGAGAGAACAGATTTGAGAGAAAAATTGTTTGAATGATTTGAGCAAAGCTTTATGCTTTGTATTTGAGAGATCTCTAGAGAGAGTTTGAGCGAAACATCTCTAGGGAGATTTGATTATCACCATTGTTGGAG